GAATAATCAAGAAGATAGAGATCAATCAAGAAGAATGCCTGTAAATATGAAAGCAATAAACATTTGACTCATCGCTCACTGTAAATATGAAGCGTAATAGCGCTAACGTACCTCGAACACAGAATTTGTTTCTCTTTTTCCAGATGTCAGTCATCAGATTTCTTTCAGATGGTTGCCGCTGGTGAAAAGAAAATGGGCAGCGGACAACTCATTAAGATTGACGTCAAAAAATTCTTCCAACTCTTCGATGTTGCAGATGGGCAGTTAAGAGTGTCGAGAACAGAACTCCTTCAATTGGCCGGAGAAGCAGTGCAAACCACTGGAAAAGACTGGAAGATCGAATACAACTGCTCGAAAATAAAGGCGCAAAGGAGGAAGAAACAAAAATAAAGACGAAGCTAAGGAAGCCCAGAAGAGGGCAAGAAGACGGTAGCAGTGAATAGATAAATGACGTGATGAATGATCTGATAAAAATGACACAATAAAAGTGGAGATTGAAAACGGTGTAATAGTTCTGTGTAGTGGCGTACCTACGCTATAATACTCTATTTATTCTCTCATGCCTATTTTCCTATGTTGCCTGTGTTTCAACCTCTCTCCTTTCTTTCCCTCTTTTTCAGGAATGGCCGAGGTGGAGATTGAATACGAACGCGACACAGAAATTGTTGAAATAAATGCTGACTGCTTCTTCAGTGTCCTGACGATAAAACAAGGCAAAGTTGAGTTCGCGAAGGAACGAACTCATAAACCTCCTAGAACACCACGGCACGATGAGGAAGATCAAGTATGATGAAGTGATAGAAGTGGAACCAGAACGGTTCTTTGAAATAGTAAAAGTAAAGTGAGTTTGATCGCTCAAGCTAACCAGTACCATTACCATGAACACAAGTTTCAGGAATGGACACCTGCACTTTGCGAGAAACGAAATGATGCAGCTGCTAGATGAAAACGTGAAGAAATGAAAACACAATGAAATCATAGTACCATTGTAATAACGGAAAATAAAGGTTTACGCATAACAGTGGAAATCTGAAGTAGTGGTGTTCAAGACACTAGAATACACCCACTTCTTGCTTCCTTTGTTCTAACATAATGAGAATAATGAGACGAACAAAACAATAATGAGATTTCAGAGAATGAGCGACAACGACGACGCGATTGTCATCGACGTCAAGAAATTCTTCTCATCCGCAAGAATAATGTAAGCAATACGCTACAACACCGCATCCACAACTAATTCCTGAATTACAGGTATGGAAATGTCACGATCCTTAAAAGCGAACTGCTGAAGTTCGTGACAGACGGTGAAGGAGATTGGATGAAAAGAATGGAAAAGCGACTACTTGTCCTCGAAGGTAGAGGCGGAAATCCCAATCGTGATTCGTCCGAAGATGAGCCTGAGCCAAAAAAGACAAGGAGAAAGACGAAGGAGGAGGAATAAATGCTAATATCTCTGTGTCTGTGTATATTGATATTTGGTTCAGTGCTAACAATTTTCCACTATAATAGTGGATGAATAAAGGTTTATGCGTGATTACGAAGATCTGAAATGAAAGTGTGCAAGACACTTGAATACATTTCTCTCTTTCTCCTTCTTTTCTTT